GGGGAGAGAAAAAAAAAAAAAAAAAAAAAAGCTGAACGGCGTCCAAAATGGCTTCTAAAAAAAGGGAGAAGGCAGCGCGGAGCCAGCGGGGAAACCCGGATGTTGGATACAAAGGGGGATGGAAGGGGCGGGGCGGCGCGGGGGCTCCGCGGGCGCTGAGTGGGGAGCGGCGCTGCCCGTCACGGCCGCGCCCCGCGGGGAGGCCCCGGGGGGAGCTCGGGGACGGGAGGGCGGAGGGGGGGGTGTATGGATAGGGGCAGGGTTAGGGGCTGGGGTCTGCAGGGGGGAGGGTTAGGGGCAAGGGGTGACGGAGGGTGTGTGCGAAATAGGGCCAGGGTTAGGGGCTGGGGTCTGCAGGGGGTGTAGGTGGGTGTGAGTGAAATGGGGGCAGGGGGTGGCAGAAGAGGTTTAGGGGACAGAGGAAGTGTGAACAGGACGGTGGAAGGGGCTGGAAGGAGAGGTTTCGGAGCTGGAGGTGGCGGGCGAGGAGGTTTAGGAGCAGGGGTTGGCGGAGGGTGTGTTGGATAGGGGCAGGGGACTGCAGGGGAGAGGTTTAAGGGCAGGGAATGGCTGGAGGGGTTCAGGGTCGGGGTGGGGGAAGTGCAAACAGTAGGCACAGGAGGTGGTGGAGGGTGCTCAGCGGAGAGCTTTAGGGGAGGGGGTGGGAGGGTGCAAAGGGGCAGAGGGTGGCTGGAGGGGTAGCTTGAGGAGTAGGGGGTGGTGGAGGGAGTGTGTGGATAGGGGCAGGTTTAGGGGCAGCAGTCCTGCAGGGGACATGTTTTGGGGAAGGGGGGAGGTTTAGGGACGGGGTGGTGCATAGAGGCAGTGGGTCGCTGCAGGGAGGGTTGGTTTGGGAGCAGGGAATGGCTGGAGGGGTTCAGGGTCGAGAGGTGGGGGAAGTGCAAATAGTAGGGGCAGGGGATGGTAGAGGGGGCTAAGGGGAAAGGTTTAGGGATGGGAGGCTGGATGAGGCAGAGGGTGACAGAGTGTGTGTGTGGTTAGGGTCAGGGGGCTGCAGGGTGGAGATTTAGGGGCAGGGGATGGCTGAAGTGGTTTAAGGGCAGGGAGTGGGAGAAGTGTGAATAAGGGTAGGGAATGGGGGAGGAGGATAGAAGGAGAGATTTAGGGACTGAGGGTGGCGGGCAGGGAGGTTTGGGAGCAGGGGGTGAGGGAGGGTGTGTGTGGATAGGGACAAAGGTCCTGCAGGGGGGAGAATTTGGGGGAAGGGGGGAGGTTTAGGGGCAGAGGGGTGGGTAATGGCAGTGGATGGCTGCAGGACGAAGGTTTAGGGGCAGGGAGTGACCCAGGGGATTTAGGGGGCAGGAGTGGGGGAAATGTGAATAGGGCAGGGGACAGCGGAGGGGGCTGACAGGAGAGGTTTAGGAGCAGGGGATGACTGAAGGGGTTTAGGGGCAAGGGTTGGGGGAAGTGTGAATAGGGTCAGGGGATGGCAGAGGGGGCTGGGGGGAGAGGTTTAGGGGCAGGGATCATGGAGGGTAGGTGTGGATAGGGGTGGGTTTAGGGGCAGATGTTGGCAGAGGCATTAAGGGCAAGGCATGGGGGGAATGCAAAATAGAGGTAGGGGATGGCTGGGGGGTGTTTAGGTGGCTGGGGGGAGCTGGGGATGGGACAGGGGATGGAGGATGGGGTAGCACAGGGCAAAGCCGCCTCAGCCTCTTGGGTAAATTCCCCACACCTTCCCAGCGGAGAGAGCAGCATGGATCCCCCTGGGGACAGGAATAAACTGTGTCCTTGTAGAAAAAGCAATCCTCTTCCCAGCAGTGAGAATGTCCTAGATCTCCCTGCACCCACAACAGCCCCTTGACCCCAAGACCTGTGGCTCCATTGTCATGGAGCCTGGGCAATGGCTCCAGGACAGTGTCCAGGGTCGCCAGGACTGAAGGGACACCTCAACAGAATCCAGTTTTAGGGCGTTTCAGTGTTAATAAGGTTTTCTCCAGTGCCAGGACTACAGGAATTGCATTCTCTCCACAATTTATTTTAGTTATAATTAAATAATACAGCATTAGGGAGCACCAAAGGAATCTCGAGGGGAAGGAAGAGGAAAGATGCTGAAATTGGGTCATTCCCAAGGCTTTGTGTTTGCGAGGTCCACTGACTCATTGGAGAAAGGGCTGTGGCATGGATGGATGCTGTGCACGGGCAGAGCTCCTGCACATGGCAATGAACTGCAGGTCAGCTCCCTCATATTTGTCCGATGGGGAGTAAGGCTGAAAATATTTCTAAACTCGTTTTCTTTTTCCTCTGGAGGGAGATAAGAGTAAACATGAATCATTCTCCGAAAAGTTTGAGAAGCATGTTGTTCCAAGAAGAAATATGTAATTTTTCTTTTTACAGTAACAAGTTCGCAGGAAACTTCAGGAGGCTTTTACAAAGGCTTGTAACCACTTTGAAGCTGGAGACTTTTTATATACGTATAGCACTTGTGTAACGAGGTCTTAACTGTGAATGAGATTCCTGGGTGCAGTTGCAATAAAGTGATTAATAGTATCATTCATGGTATCATACCTCATTCATAGGTTTCCTGTAAGTAAAGAGGAATACATTGGCAGGAATACAGTGGTTGTGACTTTAAACACGATACTCTTGGGGGGAAAGTTACAGCAAACACGTGCACTGAAGGGCAATGCAACTGGTAAAGCTACGAAAATGGCTCCAGAAAATAATTTTTAGATTAAAAATCAGGGGGAAAAAACCACACAGAGAGGTAGCTCTAGACAGGTCTGTGGCACAGAGAAAGCAAGGTGAGTATTACCACACAGCTTGTGAAACCAAAAACAGAAAATAAGGAGACGTGTCTATCAAAGGAATGGGTCAGGGGTGATCACTGTTTATTCAGAAACAAACACTAAGGAGTCGGGTTTATTTGTTTGGGGTTTTTTGCAGTCTGGAGACAGAAAGGCCTGATTTTGTTACCAAAATGTTTATCACTAAAGTGTTTGTCACTGCTGCTTGTGGCACATATCCCTGAGAAGGCCATGGAGGATGCAAAAGGGAATGCAGAACAGTCATCAAAGGAGAAGTAAATGTCGTGGCTGTGGGCTACAGCAGCTCAGGATGCATTTGGAGCCTCAACAGAAGTGACAAATAATGGGTCAATATTTCCTATAAAGCTGCTTATTTCATTTGAAAGCAAATAACGGGTCAATATTTCTGGTTTTTTCATTTGAGGAATAAGTTGTTAAACAGCTACCAAGTGACTGAAGTATGGAGAAGGGTGTCGGGTGATAAAATATGACCCGGTGTTTCACTGTACCAAGATCCCCACGATCAGCTAAAACAAGACATTTAACTCGATCCAAGAGGACATCAGCCCTCGGGAGCAGGCAGGGTGACCAGCACAGCGGTCACTTGGGCCGCCTCCCTGCCCAGGCTCAAACACTCCCTGGCCGGCACTGCTCCTATTTTTAAATCTCTGCGCTATGAAAAGCCCCGTTTCACAGCACCTGAATTGGTGCCGGGAGTGTGTTTATCACGCAGCTGTCATCGCTTTTGAGGAAACAGGCCCAGGGCACTGCGGATGTTGTCCTAAAGCCACCCGAGGAGACAGGCACGACGTGGCCTTTTGCACCAGGGCAGCTTCTGCTGTGTGGCACAGGCAATGCTGCACAGAGCAAACTGACCCACCAGAGCTGGAACCAAGGCCTTTTTGCCCAGGGGGGAATGATACACTGAATTTTCAGTTACTGAATATCAGTCTGTCTTGCTTACATTGTTTCACAGGAAGGTGTTTACCGGTTTGAAAAGGTAAAAATGTTCCCTCTACTTGCAACAGGAAAGCCCAGGAGTGAGTATTGTCGCTGGAGATAATGTTACAGCCTTAGCAACGTGACACTTTAAAACTTCATCAGCCTCCAAGAATTTCAGAAATAGCAATGAATGAAGGTAGCAAGTGTTAAGAGCAGGCAGTGCTTGCAAGAAGTGCCCTTACCAGCAGCGTTTTCAAGAGCTGTTTTCTGTTCCAGTTATCACTAGAGCAGCACAACTCAGACCGCTTTTAAATAATTATACTTAACAGTTAAAAAACCCTCCTGTGCTAAAATAAATTTTAGCTAAGATGGTTTTATGCTTTGCAGCCTCATATGACACTCAATCTTTCTCGTGTGACTGTTGTAACGAGTCAAATTCGTGTATTTTGATACTGTGCATGTGATAAAGATGCTTGGATCACTTAAGGCTGTACAAAACTGCAGTGCTCGCATGTCATTTATCTTAAAATCCTATTGTAGTGCTCGTGAAACGTAATTTCTTCATTGAATGGGAATTTATACTGACAGAGGTGTTATAAAACATGGAAAATACTGCGGGGAGGGGGCCCAACGTTTTCTTTATCTCTTCAAGTGTTCACTAACAGGGATTTATTTTTCAACTCGGCGTTGGTTCATTGCAGGTTACAGAGCTCTGGTGCAATTACAGGGACCCGTTTTCAGCCTTCTTAAGCAAAATTCACATTACTTGCAACAGGTTGGAAATGTGTGTTGCGGCCTTGAGGCAGCAAACTGGTTCACAGGGTGCAGTTTCCATATTGGTTCCTAAAGCTGCTTGTAGGAAATCACCCAGCCTGAAGGAACTCCTGGGATCCCAGCCTCTGCCTTCCAGTTTCAAAATGCATGGGTAAGAAAAACCAATTTATATTCATAACCTTGAGTAAATAAACTGTCACTTTAACTACACATTTTATTGTAATTAAGCACTTCCCAGTAATAACCAACCCACACTATGAAGCTGTTTCTTAATATAACAGTAAGGCAAGTTCTAGGCTATGAGCAGAATTAGGAAGATTTTTAAAAGCACAGACCAGTTGATATAACAGGGCAATGTCACGCAGTTCTCAGCATGTACAGAAAAGGTAGTTTTGCTAAGGAGCTTTATCCTTATTTTCAAGAAATGCCATTGCTGTGTGATCAGCAAAATCAAATCTCACCTGTGGAATTTCCCATTAGGATTTATACCCAGTATTAGCTTGACTCTGCTCCCGGTGGCTTTGCCTAACTCCAAAGGGAAGAGACCTAAGGCAGATTTAGACCTTCCCCAGCTTTCTAAGGACCCGCTGCTGTCACCTCTCCATAATGCAGCTACAATTAACTTAGCTGGAATTTCTATATTTGAAGCAGCTCTAAATTAGAGCCTGGACTTCCAGACATGGATGCAGATAGTCTCTGCTACTGTCTGTACGAGCCCTTGGGTTTCACACTAAAAAAGCCCACCCATGTTGACAAATTTGCCCTTTGCAGTCTGGCTTCAGTGCAGCCGGTAAAAATAGCGAGTGATGCAGCAGACAGAATGGGCCCTAAACTATATTTTTTGATAGCTTTTCTTAGCTCCAGACTAAAGAGCAAGGCATCAGATGTTGACAGATTAGCAGGGAATATACCGAGCAAAGGAATCTGTTACTGAAATGCCCACAGTCCAGCGGTTTTGCTGTCCTCCAGAATTTGAACTTCTCCCTTGGTTTTCAGTTGTATTTTGATTAAAGCATAAATACCAGCAACTGGCACATGTCAGCCGACATCAGAGCTATGTGCCAAAGCTTTCTTCAGGTCGGAGCTTTAGTGACACTTTACTCATCCGTGGATTTTGTTAGGACTTCTGGGGCATAGCTCATTATTTTTACGACTGTAACCAGCAGTCGTTGGATAATTATTTCCCTTTAAATCCAGGAGAACTCGTCTGGCCTTTTGGGTGGGGAACTTAATGGCAAGAAGTCTCTGGAGGACGGTTGACGCTGGGTGGTAGTTGTACCATGGGCATGTTACCCGCCCCCAAAAAGGAGAATCCAGGCTCTAATCCATACCCCCAAGTCGTGCCAGCTTGCCGGGTACCAAAGCACACCCACACTCGAGCTGGAGACTCCTGTGTTCAGACAAGGAGGATTAGGGACATCATGTGACTAATTCTGCAATGACGGTATATGCTTAATTGGTAAAGGACTGTGTTTTCTATCCTTTTTAAACCCAGGTCATAGTGTCAAAAGTCTGGCTGACGTTTGAGGTTCCTTTCAGGTATTTTCTTCATTGAGATTCACTGTATTTAAAGTTACTGTGGTTGCCAGCTTTGTCTTATGCCCTCAAGCGCTACTATGCCTTTTAGTCATAAGAAACCAGCATTTAAATTCCCCTGAAACGCCAGGCTGTGCTACTTTTGCAGCCCGCAGAGGGCCTTCCCTCAACCACAGTACAAAAACTCTGACTGTTGCAAAAGCCAGTGGCCAGGAGTCAGGAAAAGCACAGAATATACATATATATATGTATATATGTATGTAAAAGCAGACTATAGTCCTAAACTTTAGACACGTCTTGCTTTTATGCTCTCTGCTTCAGATTCCCTGTAACATATAAATACAGCATTGTTGATGCTTAGCTCATAAAATATAAATACTCCCTAACTTCCAGGAGAGTGCGTTGCAGCCAGTTGAAGTCAATGCATCTTTAATTTGGTGGAAGGAAGATGTTCCTACCAGGTGATTGTAGTCAACCATTCAAAGAGTTTACCAAGGGCCACGGCATCAAAATTCCTTCTATTTAAGACTACCTGATTGCCTGTCAGGAAAATGTGTTCCTGAGTTGGTGTAGCAACACTGGAATCGCTTTTTGGTGACAACTCTGTGGACTGACAGCCTCTAGTAATGTCAATCTATTAATCTTTTGCTCTGTGCCATAAAGTATTCTGTCCTCCTTCCGTTAAAAGCTGAAAGTAAGTAAATACAGGTCTCATCATGAGATCATTTTGCTTGCGTTCAGGTTGTCTACAAAGCCTCTACTTGAGGTGGACAAGCAGAAGGGCAAAAGAAGATCTTTCCATCCTTGGCATAAGGCCAGCCAAGGTGTGACACTGTGAGCCTGGGGCTCGGGAGCTGCAGAGCTGCCCTGGTCATTCTGCTTTGCTGTGCACAACAGCCAGTGTTGCTGACACTGTCTGGGGGAAGGGCAAGGTGTTAAACTTACTCTGAGCTTGGAGTGGTTTTGGACCAGGTCAGGCCAGCCTTAAGTGCTGCACGCCTTTGGGTGGCTGCCAGCAGATCCTGTGGGGTTTTGTAACACCTAAAAAAAGAGCCTGGGAATACAACAGCTCTTGAGTTTGCAGAGTGAGAAGAGCCCTTAGACTGTTTCCCAACCTTGTCTGCTTAAGTTACCATCCTGTGTAAAAGAAGATAGTAATTATTTACTCACATTGTCTTCAACTGTTGATGTTTTACCTGGAAATGCAATGCAGGTCTTTTAAAGCACATATGGTGGCTACAGCAGCCTAGAGCCAAAGCCTGTCATCTCTCCAGCTCCCTTGCCTTCCTCTCTCCCCAGGTGTTTAGTTGGCAGAAGGACTTCTTTCAAATTCTGGTATTTTATTTAAAAACATAGACTCAGTTTAAACTCAGAGGTTTTAAACTGGTTGCAATTAAACTTTAACAACGGGAAGGTTCTTAGGGAGGTGCTGTGTCCCTTTGAAATGGCTTTTTGAAGAAAAGCATCTGTATCCCTCCTGCAGCCAGCTGGACTGCACTGCAGGGTTAACTTTCACTGTTACCTGTGGCCTTGTGCCTCCTGACACACTCAAGGCATGTATGGAAGGACCAATAAAACATGTCCTGGAGTGTTAGGTGTATTTTTAGAGTTTGTCCCAGATTACTGGCCTTTGTCCCAGATTTCAGTGGTTAGGGTGTAAGAATGCCCGGTGGGGCTGAGTGCTTCCTGCATTGCTCTCAGGAAGGCTTTAATCAGGAAAAATACCCTCTCAGAGAAGGCAAATAATTAAGTTTTTGTGGCATATACTCTACTGCCATTAGCAGGAGATGATAAACACTCAAGACCACAGTTTAAATAGAGCGAGGCAGATGCACTAAGCTTTAAAGTGCAACATTATTGTGTTACGTGGTATTGAGTAATGAATTGGACATTACTAACAAGGCAGTTTTCCTTTTGTCTTATTGGGACCAGAATTTGTTTTTACACCATAAAGTGTCTGCCTTTGCTGCTCATCATGGGAAAATGCTGATGTAAACCACCTGGAGGAAGCTCATCCCACATGCTGGCAGCTGGCAATGTGCAAGTGGGGAGCTAATGTTGGAAGGGATCTTCAGGTGTCATGCTGTCCATTCTCCTCCCTTTGGCAGTGTTTAATTGACCTATGGCATTCCTGATAAATGCTCATTCTACCTCTTCCTGCAGTGCTCCAGGCTCACAGGCATGATGAGTTTAGCCTGACAGAACTCCTTCCCTCCTGTATAACCTCAGCCTTTCCTGATGTAGTTTGGTCCTTACTGAGTATTTGGGGGAATGATTCCTCCTTTTATCTCTTCTTCAGCTTTTAGCCACTGGAAGATCATCTCTCCTCAGCCTGCCAAAGCCAGAACACCTTATTTGTCCCTTCCTGACATTTCTAGTTGTTCAGCACGACACTCACTCCATCCCTTGGACTGCTTAGCCATATCTCAGGGGCTAAATTCCTTTGCTGAAGTCCTGGACTCCCCATGCCAATATCACTGGCATCTACTCCTCGGCTCTGGGGAAATTCTCTGGATTCAGCTCTCCCAGTTATTTTGAAGGTCTTTGGGATGTTGAGGAGCTACCAGATGGACCCATCCAAGCAGTTTTCTTCCCTCTTGGTCTTGCCTCCTTACCTTCCTACCAACTGCTTCTTGCCCAGCTGCCCTAATGCACTTTATCAGACTATTTCTTCAGCCTCATGGCATAGGACATAGCACATGTAACAAATACTAAGTATAAAAACTATTCTGTTAAGAATCTAGTCACTGGTCCATCAGTTTTGTAGGGAGATGGGAGTGACACAGCACCAGGACAGAGGCAGATAAAGTTCTCCTGTACTCACTCATGCCTGTGAGAACCTGCTCTCCTTCCCAGAGCTCTCCAGTATTCAACTCTTGGACATTTTGGCATATTATCAGTGATAAATGTATTCACAAGTGAGAGCAGACAGCCCTGCAGGTTGTGATGCCAGGGTATTGTGGGTTCTTGGCATCAGCAGTGCCTGTCTGTGGATTTCAGACGAATGAAACAGAAATATTTTTATAGTCAGCCTCAAGTTTTTATCTATTTGTGGGTGTCTTGGTGTCCCCTAAATAGGGATTAGGTCCTTTGGCAGGAAGACTGTACTTTATGTCTTGACTTTCCTGGCCCCATATCCTCCCAACCTTCTCTTTCTCCTGAAGGCCACTGAGCTTTATTTTTGCTACCAAATGCCACTCATTTGTATTGAGAAACAGGTTCCAGCAGCAGGGAAATTATCAATAATCCAGTTGGTGTAGCAATCTGTTTCTCATTTCTTGTGACCTATCCTGCTGTGGGATGATGCACCCACAATAATTATTACTGTTAATTATTCACCTACAATAGTTTAAATGCTTGCAAGTGCCTACTGACATCAGATGTGAAAAGAATTCAATAATAATGGAGGGAGAAGAAAGATTTTTAAAAAACGAGGATGACATGAGACAAGGATGAGAAGGGTGAAGGATATATGGCAGAGGTACTGGTTGGGGGTATTCTGGTGGCCTGGGTTCCAGCTCAAGCTTCTGCAGGATCTCTGATAGGCTTTGCTTTACTTATCTCTTAAGTCGGGATCAGAATAGGAACAACGGACTTTATCCACAGAAGTAATTAAAATGTTGCACTCCCTGGCAGCAGAGTTAAAATCAATTTCTCTAATACAAGATGAAGAGCAATTGGCCAGGCTGCTGCCATGTGGAAAAAGATCTGGGACTGTGATGCTTGGGAGTGCAGCAGAAACCCAGTGCTGCAAAAATCCAGCAGTTCTCCTGGGATGTCTGTTGCGAGGGGCACACTGGCATGGGTCAATCTTTCCATTCAGCTTGGCAACGGCAGGATCTTGGCTCAAGAACAATTTCCTCACCTCAGGAAACATATGGCTCAGCTGGGGAAAGCCCAAGGGGGTGCATAAAAAGTGACTGGAGGTGTAGGAAACCTGCCTTTGAGGTAAAGCGGAGAGAGAGAAGTGTGTGGTCTGAACAGGGGACTGAACTGAGACAAAACAAATTGTCAAATACATGCAAGGCTGATGCAAAGAGGAGTGGCACAATGTGTCCTTTTACCTTCTGCAAGTAGGGTGAGTAATGGGCTTCAACTCCAGCAGGAACAACACAGGTAAATGATCAGGAAAAATTTTCCGGTGCTGTGGCTGTTGTAGAATTGGCACTGCAGGAATTTGTTAGCCAAAGCTCTTGCAGGAGTGGTTGAGGTATTGTTGATTGTACTGGGAACCTCTTAGAGGGGTTTATCCAACTGTTGTTTTTTTTTTATTTTCTCCAGTTGCCACTGAATCACTGGAATTCAGCACTGCAGCATTTGGGAACACCTGCCACAATAGCACCTGCCTGTTTGTAATCAAGAGGATTGCAAAGCAATCACATGCATATTTAGCTGATGTGCAGCTCCCAGGATTGATGGTGCACAGAAACAAGCTAAGAAATACGTGTGCTGTAACTGTGGAAGTTGGTTATTCTGGAGCACTGAAAATCCAGCTTTTCTTTGACAAGGAGATGCTGCACGTGAGAAATATCGCAGGTTATATTTAGTGTTACAGAGGCACAAAGGAAATCTCATTAGAACCCACTGACAGTGATCTGTTGAAAAGGGAATAGGAGCGATTTGTGAGCTCGTGGAAAAACTGTGCATCTCTGTTCTGCCCTGTCCTCACTGTCTGCTGCTACTCTAGGACACAGACTTCTTGAGAGAAGGATCTGTGCCTGCTTGCTCAGTTAGCTCTGATACATCATATTTTATTTGCTGGGAGACTTGAACAATGAGCAACAAACACTCCTGCTCCTATTTTAAACACATTGAAACTGCAGTACAGAGTAATATAATGACTTGCTCAGAGTCACAGAGCAATTTTGTGGCAGGGCTTGGATCAAAATCCAGCTCCCTTGCTCCCAAACCCATGTGCCAGCCTTTCTCTTCATTGACCCTTAATTTTAATCACCTACCAAGAAATTCTGTTGGCCTCTTCCAGCTGACTTCCATGGGAGTAATGCCAGGTATCAAATGAAGTCACTGGGAATATCAATGCAACAGAAGCCAATATTCGATGCAAAGAAAGAACTGATGGAAGGGGAAAAAATAGATTTTACCAAAAAAAAAAAAAAAACACCAGAAAAAAAGGAATAAGTTCTAATGCCGTTTCCATAATATCATTCCCCTTTTAACTTGTGCCTGGTCAAAATTAAAAAAAAATAGATTGCTAATATTAATAGATGAAATGAATCTTGAATTTTATAATAGTGGAGGAAATGAAAGGAACAAAGTAATATTGTGTTGTTAACTGAGATTTTAATAATGATTCTGTCCTCAGTTGGTGCATTTATTCCACAGAAAGTAAATCATTAATGAAGAGGAGGGGAAAACAGTTTTGTGGTGATGGATTTTTGAAAGAAAAGTTTAATTTTGCTAAACTTCCAGAAACTCTGAAATGTGTCTGGAGCTCTAAAACTAAAACACCAACACCTCAAAAACAGCTGATAAAAGTGGGATTTAGCCAAGTGGTTAACATTGCCTGGGGAGTGGTGGAGGATGTCCGTGGCTGCTCTCCAAGAGAGCTGAGGTGAGTGGATGAGGCAGGTAAGAGATGCTGGTTTGATGGAGGAAGGAGATTTGAAGGTTTGCTGTTGGTTGGTTGCATTCTTGTAGCTATTTCTGAATGACACCTGGAGAGCAGTAGGACATCATCCTCACTCTGAACCAAGGGAATCCCACTGGGCTCATCCTACATTTTTCTGTGGACTTCTGCAAGACCTGCTTCCACTATGTCCTCTGCAGGGGGTTGGGTGTACTCAAACCCCTCTGAGTGCTGTGAAGGTGTTTGATTTCCCAGGTGAATTAAAAACCCACCAAGGCTAGCATGTCCACCTACCCACCACTGTCTTCAACCACCTCCAAGGAGTCCCAAAAAAAAAAGGGCTCCCTGGAGCACCAGCCTATTTCACACCAACTCCCCTGGTAAAAAATGTCAAGTATAGGGAGAATCACGGTCTCACAATGGTGGAGGAGAAAAGCATCTCTGTAGCTGAGGTTTGCTACCTAAGAAAAAGCCAATATGGAACATACATGGCTGTTTCTGCATGAAGGAGATAGGGGAAAACACAGAATTCCCCCGATTCCTTAATGAGCACAGCACCCCAACAATTAATGTAGAAATTTGCGAATTAAACCACATTTCTGTATTTAAATTATCAAATCAGTAAAGAGATGTAAACATTAAACAACATTATATGAGACCCTGGAGTGTCACCACAAAAAATTAAGACTATGTAATTAAAAGTACAATGCAATTTATTTTTATATCGTTCTTCATTCAAATCAACAAATCTTATTACTTACCCAAAAATGTAAAGCAGACTGCAAACTAATTCAAAAGATGAAGACAAAGTGGCTATTGAAAACTCTATGTTTGTTGTTCCCTTAGATCTGGCACCAGTCATGATTTAATATTTTAACCACTGTAATAGGTTATACTGCTGAAGAAAAGTGCATTAATTACTATGGGAAACCTAAAAAAAAAAGTCTAATTAAGAAGAATAAAATCATTCTTATTGACTAGGAAAAATAAAACTATGTAAAGGGAAATGAGGGATGAAAAAACTGACAACACACAAATATTAATAAATGTTGTCTGCTCAGGGTAGGAAACACAATTCTGCTGTTACTGGGGGGTTGGATTTGAAACTGGCTGGAAATCACAGTTGGCCATGGCTAAAGCTCTTCTCTCACCCACTGGAAGCACCTTCTAATTAACTGCAGCTCAGGAAGTTGAGTTTGTTTCGAGTTCAGCCCAACATGTCCATGCAGAGCCAGCCCCACTGGCTGTGTCTGAAACAACAGACTAAAGCATGAGATTGAACTGTGTTTCTGAGTATAGTATGGGGTAATGAAATGATTATCTTGACAGTTGACATCCTTCCTACAAAATTAGAGAGGGTATGTGTGATAAAGCAACCCAATGTCCCAAACCATGCCTGGGGACACCATAGGAAGGAATCACCATGGGCAGATGCCACTCTGTCTTTCTACCAGCCACAGCCTTTTAAAGTAATGTAAAAGGAATGTTTTTATGTGAAATGCCTACCACCTTGTTTGCTCAGCCCCAAGGAAAGCCATCTTTTGACTTCACCCCCAAGTAGCCACTGCAAGGGAGAACTTGCACCCCCTTTGTGTGCCTTCACAGGATCCTCAGGGATGCAGGGTTGCTTTGGGAACAGGTGCATCTTGTGTCAGCCAGAAACAGCAGCCAAAAGTGTTAGGAGATGTTTGACTATATTTTCCAGATGTGAAACTAGGTGGGACCATGTGGTTTTGTCATTGCTGGGATTGGATTCTGGGGCTGTGATTTTGAGCTTCCATCCCAAATTGGAATAAGAGTGTGTTTGTTTCATGACTTTGAGCATTCTTGTCGGCAAAAGTAGTTTTCTGCCCAACTTTACTGCCCTTCACTAAGGATCCTTTACTAAGGATCCTTTACTAAGGATCCTAACGATGTCAAAATGTCTATGGATGTTAAAAAGAAGGGAGAGGATTCCATAGGGTCAACATCTACAGTAAGTGTTTAAACAAATACACATGGTTTAATTACTTCAGCTGATATTAGTAGTATTAATGCCTTTTCAAGCAGAAGTAATCCTTTGATCACTTATATTTACCTCACATATGAAATAGACTGCAGAAGTTTGGCCAGTTCTTTTGTGCCGAATCCAGTAGCTTGTACATCATTAATATCTCCAAACATGAAAAATTAGTGGTATAAATTTTGCACAGCCCTTCCAGGATTACAAATCTTCATCAAAGGCAAGAAGAATTGTCTGAGGAATAGGGACTTCTAGGTCCAGTGAGTGCATGGTCTGCCAGAAAGGAAGAAACTGAGTGAAATCTTTGCAACAAATAATGCTATTATGGATGTGTACTTGCACAGAAAGCCAGCAAAAGGGCACTGCAGCACCTCAGCTGTGTTTTGGTGGTATCACTGACACTGAGAGTCACACAGCTTTGTGCTCAAAGGTAAGCATATTCTCCTTTCACACCTTCACCCACAGGAAACAAGGTTCCAAAGCAAAAAGCATTGACAGGGTTGTTTGAAGGAGTTTTGATTGACTGGGGGTTATTTTGCAACACAGAAACATCCAAGCAGTAATGCCTTTTGATTAGCAAAGAATTTTTATGTTGAACCTTGCAAAATACACAAGGATTACTCAGGAAGAGCGTCACATGGACCATGTGTAATTATCTATACAAGGGTTGCAGAAACAGCCTTTAGTTATAAAACAGAAATAAGCAAAGCTTAAATTCACTCTTTGAGAGAAAGATAGAAGGGTTTTTGATGTGGTAGCATCTGAAGGCCATTGGATCAGGACTTGCCATACTGTACATGCTCTACTAATCCAGGATCCATAGACATCAGAACTTTGTATAGTCTGGCCTGAACACTGTGCTGCCAGACACCCAGGGCTGATGCAATCCCAGTGCACAGTTCACACACTGTGGTGGCTCTGACTCATGTATGGGACTGGGGACCTGGGGCCTAGAGGCAGACAGGGACTCTGAGCTGTTGGTCAGCAGTGGGGTGTTTTAGCTGCCTGAATTTGGGGCTGCCACTCTGCTCTGGCATCCTCCAGCCCAGCTGTAACTCTGTGTGCACTGCAGGGCACGGAGCGAGTTGCACCACCAAGTGCCTGAGATACACAGAGAGCATCAGGGCAAGGGAAGGTCGTGAGGGTAGTGGTGGGATTAGATTCCCCTCTTTTCAGGTATTTACCGAGTAGACTTCTAAATGCCAGCTGTCACACTGGGCTTTCCAGGCAGCAAGAAGAAATAAGTGGGTTTATTATTCAATTCATCTGCTCTGTTTTAACCATCTACTTTAGGAAGAGATGAATCACCGTGGACTCCATCGACAGTATTGACTGGCTCTCTGTTGACTGGTGAGGGAGCCACGAGTGACTCCCTCAAGTGTAGATTTCTGCTTTAGTTGGGTGAACCTACCGAGAGCTTCGTGCCCATACTGTAAGACTCGGATGCTCTGAGCAGCCCAGACTGTGGCATTTCAGTCAATAACTTCTATGGCAAGCGACACCCATCAGGAGGAGTTTGCAATGTAAGTGGACGAAAGAAATAGCAGGTGAGAAACAGAAATTCCCTGTGATCAGTAGGAAATAAAGTCTGTGCTTCCTGCACCACCTGCCTCAAATGCTGTGTCTCTTTTATAGCAGGTTTTCATGTCTTCACAGAAAGATTGGTTCAGGTGTGAACTCATCATATGGATGATTAGTTCATGATGATTGCTGTCATCTCCCTCCCTCCAAGCTGAAAGGGTTCTGTTGAAGCCATATCTCACCCTCTGTGGCTATTGCTGTGCCTTATCCTCAGAGCATCAGCCACTTCTGAGAAAGTCTTGGGTCATGAGGAAAGAAACTGTCTGGGTCATCAAGAAAGCCTATGCTTGAAAGAGAGAAAAAACCCACCAGTCTGTAGGAGCGTATGCCATTAAAAAGCAGAAACCAGCCTACACGTGTAAGAGTGGCAGCCTCTACAGTGTGGTGTACGTCCACACATTCGTTTCAGAAACCATCTCCCTTCGGCTGTGATCCCTCTCAACTGTTTGCAGTCTGTGTGCGGTGACGTGCATGGAATATTACTACGAAAATGTGCATTCTTGTTAATAGGTATAGTTTAGGATGATTGTTAGCAGAGCATAAGGCCTTATTGATTGAAAGTGGCATATGGCAAGGATGTATAATGATTCACTTTGGCTGCTAGTTTGAAATCCTATTCACGGGTGAAAAAAAACCCCACTCTCCTTTGCAGTCAGGCTTCATTCTTTCTGCAGCATGTTTTTCAAACCGGGCCATTTTACAAGTGATCCGTAGGAGAGATTTCCTGCTCTCCTGGGTGTGTGCTCAAAGCTCTTTTCAGTCTTGCAAGGGCAGGTCACAAGAACAAAAGCTGAAGTTATCATATGCCTCCCTTTGAGGGAAAGGTTGGTTATCTTGCAGTTCTATCTCTAAAACTCTTTTTCTGGGCATTTAGTGTTTATGGAAGGTGATGGACTTGAAAACACAATAGACAATAAATGCCAAGGAGAGGTACAACACCAGTTTCCAGCAGCATTCCTTGGTGCCTGATGGGAGAGAGTGTGAATCCCCACCTGCAGCAACAACCTCACGGGAACGGTTTGAGATTTTTACCAATTGCATTTTTGAAAGACGAAGCTACCAGTGCTCCAGAAAGCTGCAGTAGAGGTGAGCTCTTCTCTGGATCCAGCTTCTCTTCACCAGTGGGAAAAAAAATGCACGTTCCTACATGACATTAGCAAACACAGAGTAATTAACCTGAGGTAAAATCCCAGTGAAGGCAAAGCAAAGTATTAATAAATGTGAACTGACAGAGATAAGCCCTGAGGACCTCATGTATCTTCCCCGTGTTAGCAGGTCCAAGTGAAGCCGAAGTTGGCTCACCTGGTTTGCTGTGTGTAGACTGACAAGGTAAGCATAGACCTTGAGGCTGGGTAAAGGTGGCACCTGTGAGTCCTGAATGCCCCCACTCCCCCCATTAGTGGTACTGCTGAGGGATGTGCTGAACCTCAAGAGAGTTGTCCTGAAGGACGACAGCTCAGAATGGCACTGTCACAGTGCTCAAGAGCAAATATAGCTGCAACTGATCCCGGTACTGACCCCAGCACCCACTCACCCACCATTGCCAGGAGGGCAATGCAGGGAAGTGTTTTGCCAGGTTGGCTGAACTGTGGAGGAAAAGTTGATCCCAGAAACTTAGAGCTATCTTGCAACCTCCACTGAACAGGAAAAAGCTACAGGGACTGATTCTAACCCAAGTGGATCAGCTCATATAGGAAGATGACTGATGGAGGAAAAGATTATGATCTCTTCCCATTCCTACAGCCCTGAAAATCTCCCTGACCCTTATCAGGCTGATGTACAGTGATTTCTGGACACTCTTCTTGGCAACAGCACCAAGAGTGATTCAAATGGCATTCACTTCACTACTGGAGGCACAGCCCTTCCGTTTCCCCACCAGCACATAAAGAGCAGAGCCTTCATATATGTCTCTTCTGGGAACCAGTGCTTTCTAGGAATTGCTTACAAAGAATTAAGTAATCTATTTGATTGTCATCCAGAAAGCCTGGGTTTGCTACATGATCATGCTCTATTCTTTTTTCCACGGAGATACTCCTTCAAGATGGTTTTGAGGATTTGCCTGTGGTAGGCAAAACAGGGCTCCCCTGAATAAAATAACTGAGCAGGCAAATAAACGGAATGCCTTTCATTATACCTGTCACCAGTTTATTTACTCCATGGCCTCTTTCTGCCATAAAAATCTGGAGTGATTTCTGCATACTAAAACATCTGCACTCATTTTCAGAAAATAACAACAACTGCCAAATGTATGAACTCACTATTTTCTCAGAACGCCTATTGTTCTGTGTCCGACCCTTATTGTTTCTCATCTCCTGTGAGTGGTTTACAATCAAATCCACTTTATTTACAGTGGAAAGCAAAATATGTCGGAGCAAGACAATTGACTATAAGTCTTCAGTCAATAACAGCTTGTTTTTGTGCCTCCTAAAATGTAGACATTTCTTGCGTTCATTGAAATCGGTGGCAAAATTCCCATTTGGAGGTGTCTGTTCAGTCCTGTGCCAGATCCTGGGCTCCTGCTAAGTGTAAGCTGGTACACCTTACTGTGCACCTTCTAAACCTGGGTCCAGCATGCACAAACTGTCTTTTCATGGGCTCCACAAGCCACTCTGCAGTAAGTACTCACAATTAAGACCTTGTATCAAGACAATACTTTAGCATCACTCAATTGGTTTTCTGATTAGGACCCTTTGTAAGAGACTGAGCTGTTGACAGGTGAATCATCTATGTCCCACAGTGTCTTCGTCTTTACTCTTGGTTTTTGGCCAACATCAACTCCCACTGAAGGCCTTTCTTATATAATTTTCCCGTGAATGCTTTCCATGGGGTCATCACATCTCAGAGATAAACACTGAAAAGCTGAAGCATGCTATTAAGCTTCTTAAAACATTAGAAAGACAATCATTTTTACAGAATAGATGTTAATCACACTTATATAAAAGCTTGTCATCTTCAAAGAATTTAACCAACATTAATTACATGTAATTGGCTTTTCCACATACGTCATGCAAAACACACCTTTCATGTCACTTGTTACATCTTACCCAGGATTTCTGAGAGAAAGCTGTGCCTCTTCAGTGAAGCACAGCTTCCTGAAGCCTCCTGAGGCCTCATCTTGCAAATCCCAAAGGGCAACATTTAAAACAGCAGTTGCACAAAATATAGACACCTCGGCTGAACTGAGAGATCTGTGAGAAAAATAATGCCATCCCACTTGTGTGCCTGCAAAGTTGTAAGTGTCTCCATTTCCCTGACAAAATCTTCCGAGGAGACTCTCTGAAGCATTCCTGTCCCTCGTTCCTGGGGATGTCCTTGGCTTCACTAAGCCCATCCAGCTCCCATACCCACACTCTGGTATCTGCCTGAAATGTCTGGGATACCCTAGCCAGAAGGCAAGGTGCTCTCTGGACCCCAACTGTGCTGCATTTGACAGGCTACAGTGAAAAGAGAAAGGACCACATTTTCCATGGATACCTTGTCTTCAAGCACTTACTCAAGAAATTGAGAACTTGGGTCCATTCCTTTCCTCTGACTGATGAGGTCTGAAACCGCCATCTGGCACCACTCTGTCTTGCTTTTCTTGTGTCTTTTCATTGAAACAACTTCTACATTCAGCCACAAACAACTTGAAAAAGTTAAGGTTTTTATTCCAATTTACAGTGTGTGTGAGACAAAAAAAAGCTTTCTTGCCCAGCGAACTGTCAGGATTCAGCTAGGAAATACGAGTTCCATGTGTCCTTGGAAGAGCTGGCTAGTGTTTAGGTTCCCCAGGGCTCAGGGCTGAGAGAAAAGTATTTTGGAAGCATAAGTGACAAAAACATAAATTTCACCAAAAAGGATAAACAAAGGAAATGTCCAACACAAGAAAAAACAAAGTGTTTACAGGGACTAGATCACACAGAATTTTTCCCAGAGATGAGTACTGGTTGGAGGATAAGGTTCACAACAGATAATAAACCAAACCCAAATACTATCTACGATCAACAGCACCACCCAGGTCAGGATTGTAGGACCTTTCCTATCAATCAGAGATAGGTGAAGGTCCTGATCAGTGTCTTCCCTCTGTTTGGCTGCCTTTCAGAAGACAATATTGAAGGTGATATTATGCTTGTTTTCATATTGAGTGTAGCACCATTTACAAGCTGATTATCACTATCCCTGCTCATATACTCAGCTAATAGTGCTAAAAAATGTGCTGTTAGTTCAATGGCTCATAAAGCTCCACCTGGCATTCCGGCATTGTCTTTAGGTCAATAAAGGTGACCTAAAGGTCCAGGATTTTCTTAACTGTTATTCTTAGCTCTCAGCTTTTATTCTTAACCCTAGATGGCTACAAAGACCAGAGACTGAGTTTCCCATGAGGTTGCTTGGGTCTGGGATAATAAGTTCCAAACCTCTTGAACTGTCTTGCATGTTGAAAGACACCCCATCCTTCATGAGCTTGTATCAGAGAGAGGGAGAGCTACATGTTATGGTCATGATGAGCAGAAAAATAGCCATGGTGTGCAGAAGAGAATTCAAAGTGCCCTGGAACCTAACCCCAGATCACAGAGAGGCAGATTTTGAGAAAAGCATTTAAGTGGCAGATTCCAGTGCAAACCATAATTGTGCTCATAAATCAACAAGATCCTGTAAAAATCCCACACAATGTCACCTGCCCTCGGTATCTGGAGTGGTTGTTTATTTTGCAGACATCTTCACCCTCTCATTCTCAATATTGTAATTCAGTTAGTGGTCACACAGTTCTGTCAGACTACTCTCACGCTGGAATTTAAGTAAATGGTTAAGTGTGTTATTGGTTCAGAACTAGAAGACTCTCCACCTTGCAGGACTGAGCCCTGTAATCTATTCGCATTTCCTTTTCAACTTCTGCAAGTAACCCCAAACAGGCTGAGAACACTAAGTGCAAAGTTACAGGAGATGACTGTGGCAATTTCTGAATGACAAGAGCATTTAAAAGAAATGTCAAGAGTCTGTGGGCTGCAAGCT